AACCAACATGATAAAGACTGTGCATCCCTGCTTTGAATGTTTTACAACATATAAAAATAAAACTCATAGGATCACAAAAGGAAATAATTATATTAAAAGTCAGTCCTTTTCTTGGGCCTTGAGGAATGGGTCCATGTCAACAGCCCTCAGATTAAGAACCCCCGTGTGACTAATTTAGTTTCACAGACATCTACAGTGTAGTAACCTAGAGTTTGGATAAGCTGACTATAAATAAGGCCTCAGAACACTATGTAGCAATTAAATGTTTCAGCTACTTATCAACTTGTTATGCTTTAACACTTTCTTTTCTCTCCCTTTCCTCCTCCTTCTCCTGCGCAGTCACCCAGATAAACAGGTGTACATACTTCACAACCCCTGCACACATGCATACGAAACACACAAACACACATTCCCCAGACACTTTCAGGTTTCATGTCATATATAGAGAGAGGCATAAGGCCCTAGGCCATTACATCCAACCCCTCCAATGTCCTTAATCGTGTTCCCTGACTTCCCCTCAGTCCCAGCTCCTCAGACTCCCTCCTTCAGGGCTTATTATATCTGTAGGACAGCACTCACCACCCTGGCCTTTCTTACTTTCTTTCACAGCATTATGAATTGATCGCTGCCTTCTGCCCTGGAATAACAGTGGAGAATGGTGGTGGCTCAGCCCGGAGTCTTTGACCTTTATTTTCTCAGGCTTCAGTGAGTCTTCCATGGCAGGTGTTTCCTTTTGATAGGCAGCTTTTGCCTCCCACCAGATGACAGTCGTTCCATGTGTCATGCCCAGCCTACAGCGGAAGCGCGGGCTTGGCTCACAGTGGCCATGCTGAACATGCTGTATCCCCAAGATGGAGCAGCTCCGCCAGGGCTTGCGAGAGGAAATATAGTTACTGTCACAACTGAATTATGCGGGTGCTCCCCCAACGGTGTCCTACAGCAATTTCCTGCTGCCAGAGCAAAGTGCCAGCAGTGAATTGTTTTCTCCTTTGCACATAGGAAGAGGAAGGCTCTCTCGACAGATTCCAGGTAACATAAACCAGTAGGAAGTCTCTTCCTTGTGAGTCATGTTATGGTTATATTGGATGCTCTCCCAATGATAAGTTAGAGCCTTGCCTCCAGTGTTTTAGAATGCAAGCCAATTTGGAGAAAGGCGTTTACGGAGGTAATCAAATTAAAAGGTTGTTAGGGTTAGTGAGATGGCTTTTCTAAAAATAGGATGGCAATCTTTCTAGACTAGACAGTCTAGCAAGCTCCTTTAAAAATTATCACATTATTCAGAGACTCTGTGTGTGCGCGCGTGTGTGGTGATGCAGGTAAAGGTATCCTGCCACTGAGCTTGATGACCTGACTTTTATTCCTGGGACCTACATGGTGAAGATACAGAACAGACTTCTATGAGTTGTCCTCTCACCTCAACTCACAGGCCATGATATATACCCATACTCCCACTCCCCACACCCCTACACACATTCACACACACACAAAGTGAACGGCACACAGTAAAAATGTAAAGGAGATGGCCAGAATGTCTATTCCACGAAGACTTCTTTCTGTGTTATTAAGTAAGAGGGGGGAGGGGCAGAAAGGCAGACCCATTAAGAGTGAACTGACCCACTGTGATGAGTCAAGGGGATGACAGGGAAGGCATCGACGAGCCTTCTGAGGAAGGAGGCCTCAGAAGAAATCAACCCTGTTGACATCTTGACATTGGTTTTCTAACCTCCAGATTGTGAGCAGTCTCCCGGTCTGTGTTGTTGGATTCTGAGATGGGAGTGGGGATCAGAATGATTATCCCTCCGTCTGCACACAGAGCAGTTTCAAATGACAGTTACGTGGGTGTCCTACTGCTCTAAGGGGGGCAGGTTTTGTGCTACCATAATAACACAGGAAAGGGTGGAAAACAAGTTACCTCTCTTCTCCTTCAGGATGGAAGGCAGGGGGACCACTCTAGAATTGATTCTATTACCAGGACTCCCAGAACACAAACACAAACATAAATATAAACATTCGCTTTCTACCCCCACCCCCAGTGTTAAAGATGAGATTTCATGGCTTTGACCTCGATGACTAACAGCCTCTAACCAGAAAATGCTATCCTGTTATATATACAGTTAGAAGCCCAGATGTAACCTAGGAGACTTCAAATGGGTTCAGTCCCACAAGTTCATATAAGAAGACAAGCAGCGAGAGACCCTGAGAGGGGATGGACTTGCCCAAGGTCACAGAGCAGGAAAAATCCCCCAGCCTCTGAGGCACATCACTTCCATGAGTCTCCAGCACTACAGGCTGCGGGCACGAACTCCTGAAGCCAAGGTTGTCCCCTGTATCTTACCACTCTTCTTCCTACGTGCAATGATTTGGAAGTTCAAAGGTCACAAACACTTCATAAAGTCACCCAAAACTACTGACAGAACAACCGATGACAAAAATATTTATTTTAAAGCCTCTGGTTTTCATAGAGACAACCCTCCCCCACCAGGGAAAAAATAAAACCCTCCCCCACACACACACCATGCTCCTATTATATGCCTAGACTGTCCCTTTTAGGTCCGCTTAAAAGAAGTCCACTTAAGAAATAGTGCTTTCTTGGTGCACATAATTACTGTTTAGTAGATCCTTTTTAGCCAATGAAATAATAAACCTTTTTTCTTCACTTTTAAATCTCTTTCTCCTGTATTATAACTTTTTCCCCCTCAAAATTCAATGAATTATATGAGTTATTTTTGGACCTTCCAAATGGTTACTGTTTGTAAAGGCCATCGTTTTCTTCTGGATGAGAAAATGCTTATTCCAAACTATAGTATCATTGCTTTTATTATTCTTTCCATCACAGTGTGGGAGAGAAGACCTTATCAAATGATCAGACTCTCATTTGCGGCCACTAGAGAAATATCATGAAGATCAGTGTGAGCCTCTGACATCGTGCGCTTCCACCCATCTGAGAAGAACAGGCCGGCAGGGTCTTCAGACCATGGAGCCTAATCCCCTCATTTCAGAGTTGAGGAAACTGGGGCACATAGGCACCCCCCAAGGCTATATACCTAGCTCACACCCCCAATTCACTGGATTTTCCACTACCTAGGAAATTGCAGAAATCCTTCACACCTCCTCAAGTCCATTACAAGCTGGTCTTGTAATCGTTTGTATTTAGTTCAGCAGTAGAGAAGCATGGGAACACATGGTTCCTGCCTCTATGTAATTAATTTTGTGTTGCTCCGGCTTCAGCTCTAAAATGGTTTCACAAGGTCATCCGTGAATCAGAAGAATGGTATGCACATGGCAAGTTATTAACCATCCTTTGCCTCAGTTTCCCCTTACTTAAAGTAGACATTTATACTTTTTTATATGATTATATGAATAATGCCTAGAAAAGGCTTAATAGCCATTACAACTCAATAGATGTGAATGACTCATATTCTGGCTACAAGTAAGAAAATGTTACTCAAAAGTGGTTTAGTAAATGTTTGCATGGAAATGTAAAAGAATTATTATTATAGCTCTAATAACTACCGGATGGGATGATAGGAATCTTGGACTCTGAATTGAGAAATATTAAGTCACAGATGCAACCCAGCCATGAAGGGGTTTGTGACTTGGGAACAGCGTTAACCTTTCTGGGTCTCGGCACCTTAATCACCAGCTCTAATGCTAAACTCTCAATTAGAGAGAAACACCCCAGAAGTACAATGAACAGCATGGTTGACACAGGAAGCCTTTCCACCCCGCTGAGAGCTTTTGGCCTTCCGGAAGTGAGGGAGATGCTTCCTTGGTCGATACCCACAAGGAAAAAAAAAAAAAAAAAAAAACTCCTGGGCCTGAAGCGCCCTATCCCCGAAGCAAGAATTATCCCAGCTTTTCCCTCTGGGGAGCCAGTCTGCCCGGATTCAAGCAGGAGAAGGGAGCAGATGAACAATGGGCGTCGGAGCAATTAGTTTTGGCAATTAGGCAGGCAATTAGTTCTGCAGAGTGTAGAACGGGAGTAGAAGGTAAATCAGCAGCGTCAGAGGTGACAGGAAATGTGAGCGGGCCTCAGGCTCCAGTAACACCCAGGTGAGAAGACCCACAACTCCCCAGCGTCTTTCCCCTCCCACTGTCGGGACCACAGGGGAGGTTGCTTTCCAGGAGCAAAAGTGCTCCGGGCTTTCAGTCCCCTGTTCGAATTTCTCCCTCTGAAAGCCACACATTCTCAGTGTTTTCTCCAGCTGAGGCCCTGTTGCTTTCTCCCCAGGAATCCTATCTGCAATGTTGAAATTCTGAGAGGCAATTTCCTGGGGACTCTCTCAGCAAAGAGTTCACTTGTTGTTTTCAAAGCTTGGGAAGATCTCCTCTAAGGGCCAATTAATTTCTCACTTATCTGGGGGTGAAGGAGAGCTGATATCACATAATTCCGTGATATGAGGAGGGGGCACTAAAACCATGCTTAAAGGGCAAGGCCCTGGGCTTGAGTACCAGCTGGGCTTCTTACGAAGCTCTGGGCTTTGGTTTCATCAGCTCCCAAATGGGAATAATGATAGGATAGCCCGGCAAAATGTGTGGCACTTCAATCGGTCTTGTCAATTCCGATTTGGGGAGCCCATATATTAAAAAGCTATGTTTATCTGAAATTCAAATTTATTTGGTCAACTTCTATTTTTTGTTGCTAAATCTGGCAATTTTAGATATTAAAACTAATAATACCCTTCTCAGAATGTTATTGAGGTTAAATGAAATACCACACAGCATGACCAACAAGGAATGTGGGGGGAGGGGAGAGGGGGGGTGGCTAATGTTCCTTTCTTTCTCTTTTCCTCTGCTGCTATCATTTGATTAAACTTGTTCTACCGAGTCCAGAGGTTTACAGTAACACCAGTGGCAGCTGGCTGGGTTTTCAGAAAAGGAAAATCTTTCTATGAGTTGCCTACACCAAAGCTTTTGGGCTAGAGACCCCCTCAAATGAGGGCAAGAGTGAAAAAAGAGAATGTCTGGACATGACGTCACTGTGGCACCGCTTCCCCCGCTCCCAACCAGTGTTTCCAGCCGACTTTCTTGTGACTAAGACCTCCAAGCCACTTAGAAGGCCAGGGAAATCAGGGGATGTGGTGAGGAAGGAAGTACTGGCCACAGCAGCATTTTGTCCCGCGATTCTTAGGAAACAGTAGGGGTGGGAGCCAGGGCTTGCTTTCCAGTTCACTGTGCATAGCTGTGTTCCCATGACCCACCTAACCAAAGGCACCTTCAGAGTTGGTGAGACATGATGCTGAACCAATTATAGGAACCCTCGTTAAGAAAAAGATGCGGAATTACAAATACAAAATTAGACATGAAACTGAATATTTACTTAGAATGAGAAATTATATCGTGACAAATTACAGGAGTGCTGGAGAATTAGGCCCCTTTCTTCTAAAAATCCCTCCAAGTGATTTTGCCAGAAATGCTGACACAGAAACGTTTGCTGATTATAACCCGGCTTCCTCTCTCCACCTGGAGCCTTAGCAGCCCAGGCACTTACACCAAACACCCTGAACAGGAAGGGACCTGTAACCTACACCTTATTAGCGTCGTTATATATCGTCTCTTGCATTTACCTGAATTCCTTTATAGCCATGTTTATTATACGAGCAATAGTGTAAGAATGTTGATGGGAAACAAAAGGTGAAGGGAATTCTCACACGTCCACCATCTTAACCAGCCATCTGTCTCTCTCTTCTCTGGGTTTTTTTCCATGTTCACTCACATGCACAACTTATAAGGCCGAAACCATGATGCCTTCATGTGTGTTATGCTTCTGTAACATAATACTGCAGGCTGGGTCGTTTATGAACAACAGGAATAATGACTCTGGTAGGTGGGAAGTCCAAGGACAGGTAGTGTCATCTGGCTGCTGTCTGTGCTATACATGTCCTAACATGGTGGTGAGGTAAGTGAATGCAACAGAGTAAGAGGGAAGAAGGTCTTTCTCTTTCATCCAAAGCCCACTCCCACAGAACAGTTTTAGTTCACTCGAGAAAGACTTCACCTTTTTAAGTCTGGCACCCCCTTAACACTGATTACAATAGCGTCCCATGCATTTGGGAGGGACCTTGTAACTACAGCACACCATTGGATACCACTTAGCATTGTATCACTTTCCTATGTTTCTCCATACCCTCCATCACGGTGACATTTCAAGGCTGGATGATTATTCCCTTTCTTGTCATTGTTAAGAAACCAGATACAGATGAACTTGGTAAAGGGAAACTGAATTTGAGGTTACTGTGAACAGTTTTAAACTTAAAACACACACACACACACACACACACACACACACACACACACACACACACAATTTTTGAAAAGATTCAAGCAACATTGTAACTCACGCGGGAGTAAATAATCTGTCAATTTAAAGAGAAAGATCACTTCAACCATTTATTAGGTGTGGGCAAAAAAGGAAACTACCAGCAGGCTGGCATTCCATTTTTCAACTAATCTCTTCAGTGAGGTGATTCCAAATCTGTAGAACGTGCCCCTCCTCAGGAGGTGGAAGAATTGAATAAACACTTTGCCATGTGGCTGGGTACCAGAGTGGACAATGTTTTTCTTAAGAAATGTTTCCTGATGGAAAGGATTCCTACTGAAACCACACCACACCAATTCTAGGGCAATAATTTCATTACATCCATTAGAGCACACATTCACCCTAGAAGGCATTATGAGGACCCTCTCTGGGGGAAACGTTTGAACAAAACATTTCAACAGTGCTCGGTAGCTTTCCCTTCCTGGGTGAAAATTAGGAGTCGAGTACTCTATGATTCATAACTTCACAGAACAGTTCCTGTGGGTGGACACACGTCACTCACATCCCCCTTACAAGCCTAAGGCTACACCTCCTTACCTTTTACTTTCTGAACTTCTCTGTAGGGCGCAGCAACCAAACCACCCTGTGCAATTTTGACTTTTAAAATCTCCAGTGTAAAGATCTAGAGCAGAGGGAGAAAAAAAAAATCAAATGAAACCTCCTATTTCAGATTCCAAGCTCAGAGTGGGAAACGCCTTTCCTGTGGCTTGGAACTGTCTCCACAGCCCATCGCATTTATAAGTAAAGGTGATTATGGCCCATCACAACTCACTTAGAGCAGCAGACCAAGATGGATACGAGCTACTAAAATCACGGTTAAGGCAATTTTAGAATGAGCCTTCACATTAATGGGCATGACTCATCTTATTCTGTGGTTCCCAATATATCAAAGGTTGCTGAAAAAACGTCTCCTCTCCGCATCTCTCATGTTCTCACATACAGGGCAGGAAGGAGGTCTGAGAAGATGAAGTGGAAGGTAGCAGGCCACAGCCAAAGGATGATCTGTTTCTGCTGCAAGTAGATTAAGTGCCGTTTTCTGACAGTATCAAGGCTTCAACTCTCCCCAGTCCTCAGCCTGTGACATCCTCTCAGACTTTACGGCTTAGATGCCTTGGGATGAAAGGTGGAATGTGAAGGGCATCCATAAGAACTGTTTTGACCGGAGCTCCTCAGGCATCACCCTTCCTTCTGAAGCAGCGACTCACCTGGTCTCACAAGAATCAGAGTACTCGCAAGACTTCTGCCTGACCAAGATAAAAAAAGGAAAAAAAAAAAAAAAAAAAGCCTGTGCACATTATTTTTTTCCCTCTTAATTTTATAAATGCCAATGTCTATGGAACCCAAAACAGGGAATGACATTCTGACCAGCCAATTTTCTCACTGAAGCTTGTACAAGGGGAAATTTTCTTTGCTTCCTATTTTTATGCTGTCTTCTAGTGTTGCTGGCACGGGTAACAATCACACTTGGCGCTTCTGTCTTTTCTGTCATCCAAAGATTTCAAAATGCTGTGTGGAGGGGGCGGTGGCATGTTCATTCTCACAGCGGGAGGGGAGAGAGGTCAGCTCTGTTGTTCCTGGTGAGCAACTAGGATGCAGAGGTGATGTGACTTAGATGCCTGCTCTACAGAGCATCAGGGGTGGAAGCAGGCTAGAACACCGGCTTCTTAATTTCTACTCAACCTACTGTTCACTCATCCCAGTGATGTGATCGGCTCTTCCCAGGGCCCAAAAACAGAACAGGCTCAGTATGACAGGTATGAACAGTTTGCCAAGTGTCTGACCCTACAGAGAACTGAAAAGCCAAATAACAGGGGTTTGATTTGTTCTTGAGATTTGCTTTTCAGGTGTCGGGAACTTGGACCAAAAAAAAAAAAAAAAAAAAAAAAAAGCCTAAAACCTTGGTGTGAATCCACTGGGTGAAAATGGCTAGCAGATTTCAGTACTTGAAAATATCAGAGTATTGGCAAGGAAACCCAACAACATGATCTTAAAGTCTGCAGTTGGGGATGTAATTAGCACAACCACTGGAAAAAACTACTTGGCCCTGGCTTGTAAAACAGATCATGCAAATACACTTCCATCTAGTAATATTACTCCTACATGTAGCCTCAAGAGAAACCCTCACCCATAGGCTCCAAGAATATGCATACCAATATTTAGAAAACAAAACATTATCCACTGGTGAAAATGACTGAGCCACATCTTTTTATAAAATATAGATAAACTCTATACCCATGGAGGGAAAAAAATAAGTCAGATAAAATAAGTGAGATAAAAAATAAATTTTTGTGAAGAACTGCCGTGGGATGTCTTTCTGTATGCTGTGAATATGTGTTGCTTTGATTGGTTGATAAATAAAGCTTCATTGGCCTATGCCAGGGCAGGATGGAGCCAGGCAGGAAAATCCAAGCAGATAGGAGGAAGAGAAAGGAGAGGCAGACAGCCGCTAGCAGCCGCCAAAGGAGAAGCAAGATGCCAGCAAATAGGTAAAGCCACAGAAAACATGGCAAAATATAGATTAATAGAAATGGGTTGATTTAAGATATAAGAGCTAGCTAGTGAAAAGCCTGAGACATTAGGCCATACAGTTTGTAAATAATATAAGTCTCTGTGTGTTTACTTGGGCCCCAGTGACTGCGGGATTGGGCAGGACATGGAAAACTTCAGACTACAAAGTTTTTTTTTTGTGCTTGTTTTTTTTTTTTTTCCTGAAGCTCAAAGGTAAGAAAAGCACATGCATGATTAGAGGAACAAACATACACATCATAAAACTAGGGGTAGGAGTTCGAAGCAGAGGGAGCAATAACAACACAAGTGGCATGGTAGTCCCATGTTGGAAAAATCAAGGTCTACGTGGGGGCGGGGCGGGGTGGGCGGGGTTCCAGCACAGTGCAGCTGAGGAGTTCAAGCTCCTCATCATACGTGCGTGACATATTATTTTCAGGCATTATAAAACAATTTCGGTCAGTGCTAATGAGCTAACCGTGGGTAGGAGGAATCTCCAGTGGAGATATGTGCACAGGTTTAACTCTTTTAAAGACTATAAACGGTTAACATTTTTTGAGGGACAGCACTTTTTAAAACGCCTGCCAAACTCCAGTCAAGAAAGTGTTCAAAACAAGGATGTCATGAAAAGATTTATTGTAGCAACTTTGTAACTAGCTTAGGCAAATGAGAAGCAAGATCTTAAAACTCAATAAAAGTTCTGGGAAAGTGTATGAACAAACAATTTTAGGAAAAAAAAATTCAAACGAGGAAGAGATGAAAGATGTTTGAACTGTGCTAGTAAACAAAGACATGAAGGATGCGTGGGGAAATTTTCTTCTCTTCACTCTAGGGCTGCTGAACATGGAAAACCTAGACACTAGCGGGAGTCAAGCGGGGTTGCAATGTGAGGTACAGCCTTCCGAGAGGTGCTCTAGAGATAAGATACAGTGGCTTTTAATTACACCTCCAAGGCTTTGTTCAATAAAGTCCCGGAAGCTTCTCCAAAAGAAATCATTAGAGTCCTAAAAATATTTACAGCAACATTACCTTTCATAGTGGAAATTAGCCTAAATATTGAACAACTGGAAAGTGGTTAAAGTATTGAGCATCCTCAATGGAGGCCATGCAGCCATTAGCAGTGGGATTTTAAAGAATGTTTATCGATGGGAAAATGGCCCGCAAACATATTTGCATTGCCCAGCTTTATCTTCATGACACATACATGCACACGCGTGCACATAGGGACATGTGGAAGCTGTGGAAGGTTTAAACAGTGGTTGCTATAGTATGGGCTCTGATAGTTTTCACTTTCCATTTTGTTCCCTGTTACGGTTTCAATAGGCAGTTTCCTAGATGAGCAATGCCGTATAAACACCATTGAAAAGAACATAAAGTATCATCAATACAGGGGAAGACACTCGATAGTTAAAAGCCACAAAAGCTGAGCCATATAATGTTCACTGTAGTGCCACCAACTATCCCAGTTTGCCAAGGCTTCTCTGCTTCTGCAAAATCCTCAAGGAAGTGAGGACAGTTGGCCATCATCCTACCTTTGGACTGAGAGCCTCATTCTAATAAAAAAACATCTCCCCTCTAAATGTCAACCTTCATCTTAATAATTGCTTCGGTCTCCATATAGCTATGGCTACAATGGCCTTGCAGACTTCTGCCTACGTCACCTCTTAAAGCGCTCGTTAATAATGAGCAGAGTGCTTAGACTGTCCATCCGGCTTAGCTACTTCACTCAGTCTCAATGTGCACTCAAGGAGGTCACTCTTGTGTTGAGGAAGAGGGGCCTGCCTGCCTGTCTCTCATTCTGGCACTGTGTATATGCTTTCCTTGTGTAGAGGGGGAGTGGCCCTTGGCTTCCAGTTGCCAGGGGAAAGCTGAGCCCTGGGAAATGCACTGGACTGATGACACAAGTCCCCCCTCCCCCATAAGGCTCTGGGGAAGAGTCAAGACTAAGGCGAGCACCGACTTTCCCACAGACGGTCTTAACACAACTGCAACAAACGCTCTCCCACAGTAGGTCTTCAGGAAGCTGTTCTGTAGTGCCCTGTGAAGCAACTGCTGTCTCTGTGTCAATAAGAGGCGCAGTGAATGGCAGGTGAGAGGGATGCAAAAAATTAGAATGACGTCATCCACTTCCCAGTGTCGGGAGTGCCTTGGAGCAGCTACATGCCCACTCTCTTGAGCCTCAGTTACCTCAGGAATAAGATGGATGGAGGGTGCTCTTGGCACGGACACCACAGGGCTGCAAAGATTTATACAGGCAGCAAGAGTTCAGAGCTGTGCCTGTAGATGGGTACGCAGAAAGGTGCCCCGAAATTCAGGAGTACCAAGAACCAGGAAGAGTAGAAGGCAGGCTGACAAGAATGGGCGGTTGAGCTGGGATGCAGTCTTCCCAGAACCTCAGGGAGAAACTTCCATGTCTGTCCCAAGCTGGGGTGGGAGTGGGGCCTTTGTGTCTCCACAAGCAATCAGAAGAGAGTCACCCAGGGACTGAAATGGGGGCTCTGTGTCATAGCTGAGAGAGTCACCACCTGGGTCTCCTCAGACTGCAGATTGAGGGACTAGGGTCTATAATCTGTCTGTGTCCAGGCCACTTTCCCACCACTGTTTTCAGCTAATGGGATAGCCAATGCAGGCCCCTTCCTGGGAGGTGGGGATAGATCTGTTAGCTGACTTTGTTGGAGAAATCCCTTAGGGTTCTCCTGTGTCCTCTGACTCCCCAGTGGCCTAGATCCTTCCTTCCAGCCTTCCTTTCCTCTTTTACTTTAAGATCAGCCCTCTCTAGATGCCTTCATACCGGTGGCGAAGAGTTAAGTACAACCCTCCTCTCCCTGGAGGAGCAATGTTTAACTTTGGCTTTGGTGAAGTCTCTTTCGTTTTACTGTTTGATCTAAAAAACAAAACTGGAAAAAGTAAGCAAACAAAATTAAGTACACTCTGAGAACCCAAGTGCCCATCTGGGAAGGCCGAAAACAGGGCAGAGGAATTGTTCTCTAAAAGGAACTGAAGAAGTACATGGATCCATTGGGTCAGGAAAAAGCCTCACAGGCAGGGCAAAATGCAAACAGGCATTAATCTGGATTAAGAACGGTGTCTTATTTCTGAGTTTTTCTGGTGATCCTTAAAAGTTCTTTGAAGATATATTTGGGGGGATACTAAAAAAATGCCTGCTGGTTAAAGTACCTCTTCCTTAGATTCTTATTATTCTGAAGAAGTATTAAGAAATATGGACAGCCGAGCTGTGGTGGTGCACGCCTTTAATCCCAGCATTCGGGAGGCAGAGACAGGTGGATCTCTGTGAGTTCAAGGCCAGTCTGGTCTACAGAGTGAGTTCTAGACAGCAAGGACTAAACAGAGAAACCCTGTCTTGAAACACCCTCCCCCTCAAAAAAAAGAAGGACAATCGACAGACGGGGCCATGGTTTCATTGATAAAGTCCTTTCCTTGCAGCATGAGGATCTTGGTTTGGTCATCAGAACCCATGAAAGAGCATACATGTGACCCAGCATGGGGCTTGCTGGCTTGTCTGACAAGTTCAGGTCTGTTAGAAACCCTGTGTTAAGGGAAATGTGAGGTGCCTGAGGAACAATGAGAGGGATTATCCTCTAGCCCAGTGGTTCTCAACCTGTGGGTTGCAAACATTTTTTTTTGGGGGGGGTCACATATCAGATATTTACATTATGATTCATAACAGTAGCAAAATTACAGTTACAAAGTAGCAACAAAATAATTTTATGCTTCAGGTCACCACAACATGGGGAAGTGTATTAAAGGGTCACAACATTAGGAAAGTTGAGAATTACTGCTTTAGTCTCTAGAAGCGCGTAGACACACACACACACACACACACACACACACACACACACACACACACTAAAAAGAGGATGGACAATGCCATGTAAGCCTACACCCTAATTTTTTGCAAGGGAAGCAGGAAGCATTGGAGGAAGTTTCTGGAGGTTAAGACAAGACACTGCTTAATTCTCAGAGTCCCGACAGATGCAGTATGTGATTTCTGAGCACTTGGAAAGGAAAAGCAGTGATCACTAAGAGATGACATATGTTCCTGAAGCATGGGTCATGCAAAACCTCCCTCTTTATTTTTCTCCCAGTGAGGAGCATCAACGGTATC